AGTGGTAACCTTTGGCTCGAGAAGACGCAGCGAGTCACTCGCCTGGGGGTTAGCATCAGCCGTGCTGATGGAAGTCAGAATGTGTTCACCTACACGATTAATAAAGAGAAGTTTCGTTTTTCAGATGGTCTGACGATACATTTGTCGCCCGATATCTACTCCAATGAACACAAGTATATTTATAGCAAAGCGTGAGACTGAATATATATTACATGACATCAGGAGTTCTAATGTAAAATTCGATCAAATAATTCAGTTCACACGACAGATTTCCCACTAAGCCAGATTTCCCAGAGAAAGAAAAAAAATATATTTGCACATGAGACCCTGAATCACCCCTTAACAAATAAATTTCCGCCATGTGTATAATAACACAGATAAAATTAACTTTCTTTATAAAGAGTTAGCTTACACTTAGTAATCGACAAAATATTCTTAAGATATCCCAAATTCTTACATTCATTGTGTTTTCTAATTAATTTTAACTAGTTTCTTTCCCTTTTGAACCAGTTACATTTTTGGAAGTATAACAAGTACAACAATTTAAATATCTGGGAAGAATTACAACAGAAGACGGAATTGGGATAGCGAAAGATGCCTTTCAAAAGCTAAGCAAAGTTTTTAACAAAACTTTTTCTGTTTCTTAAAAACAGAAAAAAATTGTTAAAAACAAAGATGATGGTACTGAACTGTTATATATTACCAGCCCTCCTATGTGGCTGGACAATCTCTTCACAGACAAGGAAAAGAGTTGAAGCAACAGACATGTTTCTACAGAAAAATGCCGAGAATACCATGGACTGAATATGTGAAAAACGAAGCAAAATAGAAGACGACACTTATATTCAATATCATAAAGAAACAGTCGAATTTTTAGGGTACATAATGAAAGACAAAACTTTCGTAGCCAACTTGAGTAAATGGATGACAGAAGTTTTATGAGAAGCAATAAAATGACAAAATTTATTAAGAGCTACAAATGATAGGAAAGTGTGGAGAGCTATGATCACCTACGTCATAAGGGATACGGTACATAGAAGAAGAATGAGTTTGTGTAAATGGATGGCGGAACAGGTTTCAGCAGAGATAATAAAATGATAACATTTATTAAGAGTTACAAATGATAGGAAAGTGTGGAGAGCCATGCTCGCTTAAGTCCTGAAAGGACACGACACACAGAAGAAGATGATTTTAGTTGTAATAGTTCTGAATTTCTTAGATGAAATAAGCGCAGAAGAAATGCCTTCCAAGATTTGAACACCGAACCCCTTGAGAACCTGATACAAATTATTTATTCGTCTTGGTGGTCCTTCAGGTCCGAAAAAAGACATTGCCTTGTAATTCATCAATGAATTCAGACGAATTTTCAAATCAGGCCCGTTTGGGAAGAATTTATAATGGAAAAAATCATGGTACTGTCGTAATCCCACTCTTACGACCTGTGGTGACTTTAACTGGTGGCACGAGGAATCTTTCCATCCGGAGACCACCAGATTGCAGTAGATGACCAGCACTTCTACGTGTCGCGTTCATGCTTTGATGTACTTCAAGGCACTTGAGGACACCGACTTCATGGCCGCTGGATCTGAAAAATATCTCATACGTCCACTCCGCCAGAATAGGGTTGACAGACACAAAATTATCAAGGGTTCGGAGCCGTCAATATCCCTCACCTGGTTTGTCCGCTAATAACGAATTACATATTATTAATTAGTGTATGTTTGATTGATTCGTTTCTATGGCTGTTATGGAGTGGTTTCACAGTGGAGGCTTGTATTTGTACTAAGTCGGTCCTAAAGAAAGGTTCGACGTACAAAACGTTAGGAACTTCATATAATAGGTATGACGCAAAGTAAATCTAGTTGTGGTCGCTGATACTTTAGTATCCGACTAACAGTCGTCCGGCATCGACTGAGTGACCGAACCCCTGAGCGACTCCTTACTCTTAACTACTCCTACTTATTATAGGTGGGAGAGTCTATTAACTATAGAATAGGTGTGTTCCACTATAACAATGGCTTATCGACACTTTGCTGGTTATTTGGAGTACTTTGTCAACACAATAAGCGATTATTTGTTAAATAATTAGTCCTTCACTATCAAACAATGAAAAAGTATATTTTTGTTTTTGTTTTTTTGTTGTTGTTTGATTGAATCGTTTTTTACCGTTCATCAAGGGTTTGTAGGTTATTTAAAGCCAGAAAATTTTGGGGGCGATAATAAAGATTTAGTTATACAAGTGTTACTAATTAACCCATAGCTGGGGAGGAGAAGAGATGGATTCATGCCTTTCCAAAGGTTATTTGCACTTAAATGAATATAACGAACTCAACTGGAATTGGAATTCGGCTCTCCGATTAACAATTAATTCCTAGACATTATCCACCACCCGCACATCCAAGCTTACAACACCTGTTATTCCCAAGAGGTCACCCATCTAGGTACTGACAAGGTTCGACGTTGCTTAAATTCTGTGATCGTATAGGAACGGGTGTTTCAACATGAAGTGGTAATTAGGCCATAAAATATAATGAACGGTAATCAGCAACTAATTCTTTGTCTACGTTTGCTTTATTGCCGTAGAGTACAAAAATACTTGAGCGTTGTGCTTAAAAATAGCACGAAATGAAGGAAATATTTATAAAGATGATGATAATACTACTAATTCTATGTACAAAAATAATTAAAAATACTCATCAAAAATGAATAATAATGGATATGTGTTCATCTAAAACAATTAGGACAACTTAAACCTATTACAACTGCGTAAAAGCAAGAGAAATAAATTAAAAGAAAATAAGTCAAATATGAATAATAATTAAAAATACTTCATCTAAGAAATTCTGGAAATTTAATGCTATTCTTCTATACACCGTGTACCTTCAGGACGTTGGCGATCATGGCTCTCCACAATTTCCTCTCCTTTGTAACGCTTAATCAATTTTCTCTTTTTGTTATCTCTCCTAAACCCTGTTCTGCCATCTCTTTACACAAACATATTCTTCTTCTTCTATGTGCCGTGTACCTTCAGAACGCTGACGATTATGGCCCTCCACAATTTCCTCTCCTTTGTATTTCTTAATAAATTTTCTCTTTTTGTTATCTCTCCTAAAACCTGTTCTGCCAGCCATGTACACAAGCTTATAGGTAGGTCATGCGCTGTTTTCTTGTCCCACTTGCTTTCAAACAGTCCTGTGAGTATCAAATTTTCCAAGCTCTTTTTCCACATTATGTGTCCCAGACATTTCAAATGTCTCTTTTTAATGTTATTCTTATTCTTTGTGCCGTGTCCCTCCAGGACGTAGGCGATCATAACTCTCCACATTTTCCTGTTCTTTGTAATTTTTAATAAATATTATCTTTTTGTTATTTCTTTAAAACCTTGCTCCACCATCCATATATTCAATCTCATTAAATATGTCATGCGTTGTTTTTCTCTGTCCCTCTTAGCTTAAATCTATTTTATAAATATCAGATTTTCCAAGCCCACTTTACTCATTATTTGCCCTAGAAATTTCAACTCTCTCTCTCTGAGGTTAATATAAGTTTCCTGTTTATTTCTATTTTCTTAAAAACTTTGCTCATATATTCAGTCTATAGTATTCTCAGCATCCTTCTGTAGAACAAGATTTCTGTTGTTTCAAGACTATTTTTAATTTGCAAGGGGATTGTCCTGCATTCACTCCCATATAGGAAGTTTGATATTACGTAAATGTTCCATACTCTTTATTTCGTTTCAAATCAAATTTTCCCGTTTCTTAAGATTTTACTCAGCTTTTGATAACTATTAACTAAATTTTAATAATAATTGACAATGTTTCAAACAATTTAAGACTGTGCCATCTGTTAGTATTTTTAGTTGCAAACAGGCAACAAATTATTTATACGGATATTTTTAATAAAATACATTAACTAATTTGATGATTTTCACAAGCAGTCACCAAAGGAAGAGACAATAAAAGTAGATAATGTCACCTATCGTCCAGTATATAGAACTATATATACTGGTCTTGGAGAAAGCTTATAGAATAGAACTGGGATGGGAGTAGGATTCATACCTTTCCCAAGGGTACTAGCACGTAAGTGAGTGTAATCGATTCGACTGGAATTCAAGCCGCTATACATTACACTATCGTGCCTCATTTTATTTTTTTATAATATATATATATATATATATATATATATATATATATATATATATATATATATTGGTATGAAAAAAATCAATCATATATATATATATATATATATATATATATATATATATATATATATATATATATATACATTTGTTGATTATTTTTTCTATACGTCCTTATCAGCAACAATTCTACATACAATCTGATACATTTGCGCATATAAAAAATCTATATGAAACTGCTTGTTTTAATCCAGGAATTATTTTCCGTTTGAACCTGCAAACAAGATCTTTCAGTATACCCGACAAGAAAAAGTCTCATGGCACTTCGGCGTGATGCAATGATTAACAAGCTTAATTACGAGTGAATAGTGAATTTGAGCCTCACTAAGTACCTTATACTTTCGGCCTTGTGTCACATCTATGCTAGGCTTAAAAGTCGCCACAATAAAACGTCTGGTTGCATTTGGTCTAACGATCGTCACGAACACTCAATTGCTCCACGTCATCCTATCCACTTCTACTCGAAATTAACATTTAAACATTGCCGAACGAGTAAACCATATTTAATTTTAAGCTATCTAAAACCACTATAATTTATGTTTGTTCAGTAAAACCTAATACATAAAGAAGGGTGTAACTTTTGCTGCATCCTGTATGTTTACTCTCAAGTGTTACACAGTAACAAGTAAATCTTTTTATTTTTTTTTTCCTATCTGAATTTCTGTGATGAGAATTTATTATTTACATGCGGGCTATGAAGGCGGTTTCAATTCACCCCTATCATTTATTCTGTTACTCCCTTGTAACGTTTCTTCTTTGTTGTTATTCTCACAAGGTTTCTACCCTGGGGATTTTCATCAGGCGCTTGCCTCTACTGGTAACTTTATTTAATCTACGGGATAGATTGTTCTCATTCTGCTGACCATATATGACCATATCTCGTCTAGTTCTTATTTTGTACTCTCAGTTATTCCTCCTGCCAATTTCACTTACTCAATTCGTATTTTCTGTGGTGTGTCATTTCAGGACGTTGGTGATTATGGCTCTCCGAAACATTATGTCCTTGGAATCACTTAGTAAAAACTTCTATTATACAGAAGGTATATAAGGGCTGACTGATACAATTCCTGAACAAGTTTGAAGTTGAGATATGTACGGGTGTTTAATGAGGTCAAAATACCTTTTATTAACACTTGCCTATTAAACAGTTTTATTTTTATTTCTTCATACTATAAACACGTTGACTCGCGTGATGTCAAAATACGAAATCTGATATCAAACGCTAACTTAATAACAGCCAACTTGTCATCAGTTGAAGACTTAACATTGTATCCATACTAAATGCAACACACGCTGTTGAAGCCAGCAGATGAGAATATATTCAGAAACGTGACAAGCACATGATTACTTGTAATCGACATCAGAATACAAATTCAGTGTCAATGTTAATGTGTTAATTAAAAATTTAGATTTCAATACAAGGACTTATCAGAAATTAATGTTTCTTCAATGGTAAATACAAAAGAATACTTTGATATGTTTTTAGAAAATAATTCATTGGCCTTTATACTACATACGGACACCGATTATATATATATATATATATATATATATATATATATATATATTTATATATAATTATTAATATAATAATAACAATATAAACGTTATATTGAAGGATTGCAACAGACATCCCTGTTTGATTAAACTGAAATTAGCGCCTACTGATTAAATGTGATTTCTCAAATGTAAAAAATACTGGATCGATTTCTTTTTTCTTTATCTCAGTTTTTCATAGGCTTTTGGGAAAATTTTCTATTTGCCACACATTGTGTGTGTATGTCTGTGTGTGTGTGTGTGTGTGTGTGTGTGTGTGTGTATGTATTTGTGTTTGTGTATGTACTTGTTGCAAGGTGTGATCCACATTCCTGAGATAAGACGGAGTGTAAGGATTTCTTTGAGTCGGCACGGTATAAAGATTACTTGGAGCCCCAAGAAGATCATACACTGATATTTATATTGTGTCTGTGTGTGTGTGTGTGTGTGTGTGTGAAGACAAATAACTAACGAAATATGATCAATGTGTTTATTAGAAGAGCAATAGAATGTAGATTCTCATGGTTCGTGTATTATGTATATATATATATATAGCATTTTAAACTTTTGTACATATTTTGATAATTGCCTATCAGGCCAAGGCTAGATGGGAAATGTCGTCAAATTAATCAAGGTCTTTCAAGAATGAGCCATGAAAATTTAATTGACCTTGCACAGATGGAACGAAACATGTGGATTCGGGCTGACGACGATGAAAAAACTTGCTGAACAACATACATGACCTTATTTTCTTCTTTTAAAATAAGACGACAAATGTGACAAATTTCATTTATTATATGTTTGCAATATATATATATATATATATATATATATATATATATATATATATATATATATATATATATATATATATATATATATTCATGTATATTTATATATATACACACATATATATATATATACATATATATACATATAAATATATACATACACCTATCTGCATACATATATATACATACTCACACCTATATACACAAATACATATATATATACACCTATATACATATATATATACACACACATATATGTACACACACACATCGCATATATATATATATATATTTTTTTTAAAAAATGTGGATGGTCCTGCACGAAACATTCACCATTATAATCAAATCCCAAGTGCTTTTGTCGGACTGTCGGTTTCCTAAGAACCATGATCAGCTTGACCCTCATACGTCGAATTCAAATTGAGAGCTTTATATATATATATATAAATATATATATATATATATATATATATATATATATATATATATATATATTTGTTATATATAAATCAAAAAGAATAATATATTGTCCAACCAAATATATATTATATACACACACACATACAACTATCTATATATATATATATATATATATATATATATATATATATATATATATATATCTAACTCAACTATAAACATACACACACACATATATATAAATACAACTATATATATATATATATATATATATATATATATATATATATATATGCAGGGTTATCATTCTAAGGTGTCCCCATATTACGTTTTAATTTTTGTATATGCGCATTATTTCTTTTTTTTATTTTGTCGACTGCACAGTATTATAGGGTCAGTTGTGCACTGTGTGTGAGAAAAGGAGCATCCTGACTCTTTTCACTCCGTCAGAAATTTCGAAACGTCATTCTGCTTGGCATTCGCGCCGGACGTTCAATACGAACATTTCAGAGTTTTGCGATGCCAATCTGAGGACAGTGGAGATGATTTGGA